ATGTGAGAAGAGAAAGGCATAAAAACATGAAGACCAGGTCTCCCACGCAGGTGACTTGGGACATGGTGGGTCCTAGGGAAAGGGAGGAAAGTATGAAATTGATGAATGAAATTTTTAGACGTATTCAGTTTGAGATGACTGGGGAACAACTGGGTAAAATATCCCCTTGTCAATTTCAAATGTGAGACTGTATTTCTAATGAAGGCTAAGAGTTAAAATAAAGATGTGGCAATAATGCATCCAGCCAACTGACACTCCTGGTTCTAGAAAACCAGTAGCTTGTTGCCAGAGCAGCTCACCTAAAAGCCAGGCCACGTTCTAGGTGTTTTATATGTTCTTCTGTTGACTTCTCACCATAAAGCATTCCTATCCCCATTTTACTGATGAGGATTTGGCGGTTCAGAGATCTTACACAATGAGCTGACTTCAGAAGGGAGGTGTCCAAGTTCTTATTCACCCTTGTTTTCCCACCACACAAAGAAATGATAGCTTTCTCTCTCTTTTTATTTCAAAGTCGCCATTATAAGTTCTACATGCATTTTTTTTGTCCATTCATGTCTTTTCTCCATTCTGATCTTCATTTACGTTGCTTGACTGAAATTGCACCCAATCGGTCCCAATTATATTCAGTGCCCTTCCCCTGTCTTGTCGCTGCTTTTAACTTAGCTGCTCACTCTCTCATTATTTAGGATTCCAAGACAGTGTCCTTTCAGCTCCCACATCTGGAATTCTTACTACAATCTCACGAGAACATTGGCCCTTGCATTAGTTTTGGGCTAGGAGACCCTTAGCACTTCAGAATGCACACTACACATCAATCAGCCCTGCTTTTTTACAAGACATCATCATGACACCAAATCCTCCCAAATAAAAGCCCCACATACTACTGAACTAGCATGAAAACAAAACAAATTATTTTCATCTCTTCAGTGATCTGGTGACTACTTGAGTATTACCTTCCAGTTTTCTCTACTCCCTGACAAAATGACGAATTATAAACATTTTCTAATAGCTATATATTTTTTTAGTCTTTATTATAAATAGCGGGTTTCAATACCTTTTAAAATCTCTAGCCTCTAGCAGTTCTCCAATGAAAGTCATATTTCCTTACTAATAGTGCTTCTTGCTATTCTTGATTAACCAGCTCTGACCTGGAAAATTTTATCTTCCCATGTGCTAGGTCTCACACTTTGCTTTCAAGTAACTCAGGTAACTCTGAAGTCACAAATTAATTCTCACAGTGTGGTAGGTGAAAATTATTATTCTCCTTACAGATAAGGAAATAGTTGCCCAGAGTGGACTGTGACTCATCCCACTCCCTGCATCTTTTTTAATAAACCTTTCACAGCCAACTTGCCCTCAGTTAAAATCCTACAAAAATCATGCCCTGCTTGAGATTTTGTTTCTCCCTCGCCAACTCCTCAAGAAGAAAGCATGCCAATGTTCAGTGTATTGTGAGAATGGGTAATCTGGGATTGGAGGTAGCATGAAGAATCTCTGGCTCTTTGGCCTGGAGAAAAGAAGAAATAGAGAGACACGGAAACTGCTCTTAAATAGAATAATGGTGGGTGTGTAGAAGAGAGAGAAGGCGGGGTGTTACAGCTCAGAAGGTGGAACTGGAAGGGAGGAAGAGCTATGCAGGCCGACTTTCCGCGGACTTCTCATTAGTCTGTTTATGCAGTGCTCCAGGAGAACTTCTCTTCAAATTCAGACCACAGGACCCATCCTCCGTGAAGTTCCCTTGCTGTTTCTGTTCAAAGTGTGAGGTCACTTTGCTGAGATCCCTTAACTTTCTCATGGATCTACACAATAGCATCAAAATCATAATGCTTCCCTCCTTTTTGGCCTAGCAACTAGAATGTGAGCTTCATGTGGGCAGACGTGAACCATGGCATGTTCATTCCTGTGTTCCTTACATTTAAATACAAAATTTCTCTAAAATGGAATCAAACACTTCTGAAAGTACTGAGATCCCAGTTTCTATAGGTATTCAACCAGAGACTGTTAAAAAGGGACTTTAACCATACAACTCTACCACTCTGTAACTTCTAAACTTCCAATATCTTAAGTGCCGTCTTATTTGAAGTGATTTCACCAATCCCAAAGAGTTTAAAAACATAACTCATGAGGACCAGTGTGCATGGTTTAGTTATATTTTTAAACTCTTTGGGATATATAATTAGTTTAATATTCTGATTTTAATAATGATTGACCTAAAAATTATTAAATGTCTTTTCAGGGCAATGTCTTTAATTATAGGCCCTGCTCTACACAAATGTTTGTTGAACACCTACTAAGTGCCAGACTCTGGGAATAAAAGAATGAGCAAGAACCCTGCCCTCAATAACTTACATTCCACTAAGAGCTGTATTTCCATTATTGGGATTGAGAGGTGATAGCCTAGTTGCAAACTTTCGGTTTTATACCTCTGCTCTTCAGTACTGAGAATGTTTTCCTACGGTTACCACACATTCTAAGAAGACTATTATCTAATGTTACAAGGGAGGCTCTTTGACCCCTTGGTGTCACTAAGTCTGAACTGTAACTGATCCAACTGGGAACTGCCTAGGCAAGTAAGGGAAAGTGAAGAGGGAGACTCCCAAGGTCATTTCAGAACCGACCTGAACTTCACTCTTTCCTCGTTCTAGATTATGTGTAATGATATGAGCACACTGGAGCCCACCCCACCCCCACTCCCCAAAGCAGCACAATTACAGCCTGGGAGGGGCAAGTCTTGCGGTGTCCCTCAGTAACTGCCATTATTTGAATGCGATATAGGAGCTCCCACATAGACCCTGCTCTACCGGGTTAGAATCTGTTTCTAATCACGTGGAATTTAGATTTAAACCATACTTAGATTTGGGATTCACCACCGTTTCTACTTTCATTCATTTAGTGGCTTCCAGCCCTCTCCCGGCCCAGTCTTAACCCAATGCACTTCAGAGGGAATTACACGGGAGTTACGGACTGGCGGGGACGGGGGGTCCACCAGCTCCCTGTGAGAGAGCGCCAAGGGCGAGGGCAGCACCTCCCGGCTGGGTTGGGTCCGCCTCGCCTCGCCTCGCCTCGGGGATCCTTGGCGCTCAGCGCCGCCCTCCCGCGACTGCGCTACCCGGAGCCCGGCGTCTTCCCTTTCCTTGTCTTGTGGACGCCGCCCTTCGCTCCCGGGAGGATTTCGCCTCCAGCACCTCAGGCTTTTCTGGCGCAAAGGTCGCCAGCCGGAGCGAGCCCAGGCGGCGGCTTCACTTCTGCAGAAGGAAAGCGAAAGCCGCGGCGGGCGGGCCGAGGGGGCGGCCGAACGCGCCGCGTGGCCGCTGTT